GTTGAATTTCCAGGGAATCAGAATTATTTTATCTATAATTTATTCTAACCCCAAGGTTCCAAGACAATCTATAATGAATGTTCATATCTGCAGTCTCCCGGCCGATCTGCATCGGGCGAGGGAGCCGTCGGGTTCTTCACGTGGGTGACTTCAGGCCCCCAAGCCTTGTTTCCTATCAGTCTCAGAATTTTCTCCCTGAAGGGAATCCAACTTGTTTGAAACACAGATTTTCCTCGCTAATTTTCTGCACTGGAGAAAAATCTCGATCTGCTTTTCCAAAAGATTTATTATTATTTTGTTTATTTGTTTATTTTTGAGACGGAGTCTCGCTCTGTCGCCCTGGCTGAAGTGCAGTGGCACGATCTCGGCTCACTGCAACCTCCACCTCCCGGATTCAAGCGATTCTCCTGCCTCAGCCTCCTGTATTTTTTTTTTTTTTTTTTAGTAGAAACGGGGTTTCACCATGTTGAACAGGCTGGTCTCGAACTCCTGATCTGCCCGCCTCGGCCTCCCAAAGTGCTGGGATTACAAGAGTGAGCCACCGCGACCAGCCTTATTATCGTTTTTTAAGAGGCATCCGGGCAGGCCCGCGGAGTCGGGCTGAAGGCTGCCTCAGACCCCGGACGCCGCGCACCCCAGCACCTGAGCTACCCGAGTGTATCAGACACGAGATTGCCGGGCACAGCCCTGGAGCCCCTTCGGCCGCTCCCAGTCTGCGAGCGCCGAGGACCCTGAGCTCTGTCCCCTGTCTCCCGAGGCCCCGGCGTCTGCTGAGCTCTCTCCGCGCGCGTCGAGGAGAGGCCGCCTCTCGTGAGCAAAAGCTGTGAGTTGTTAGAGATTCCGCAGCCGCTCTGAGGGCGAGATTGGGTTTGTCCCACGACCTCGGCGCCAGGAATCTGTAGAAAGAGACAGACCCCAATTTTCTCCCCTTGGAGTTGAAACAAAACCTGAAAGCCCGAGGTTGCCCGCACCGCCAGAGGTGGCGCCTGGGCGGCGGGGGCGACTGAAGCCGCGTGGCCGCGCGGTTCCCAGGCCCGGGTTCTGTTTGCTCCAATCTGAGTTGGTGACTTAGCTGGTTAGCTAACAGACAGCTCGCAGGCAGCATTTATGCAAACGCCAAGCCCGGCCTCACGCTGAGTCTCCGCGGCCGCTAGACTGATAGCTGCCCGGCTGGGCTCCCAGAGGAAGGACCAAGGGAAATTCCTGGTAATTAGAGGGGAGGTTTCCCGGGGCGCCCCTTGGCGAAGAAGCCTTGGAACAAAGGACTAAGGTGCCCGCGCGCCGCGCGCCCTCGGGGCCCGGCGCGACCCACATTCACGCCCCTCCCCTCTCCACGGCGGCCGCGGGCTTTGTGCGCCGGGGCGGTGCGCCGCCCTGCACCTGCCCGGCCTTAAGTACCTTGGCGAGGCGGCGCGGGCGGCTGTTCTAATCGCCATCTCCAAAGTACCTGCTCATGAATAAACACCAGCCCCATTTATCAGGTACTTAGCGCTCATTGTTAAGGGGAAATTGGCCCTTTTCTGAAAGTGTCTATCCACAGCCCATCTGCGCAGTTCTGGTTGCAGAATTCCCCTCACCCTTGAGACACACACACACACACACACACACACACTCGCAACACGAGGCTCCTCAAAGCTAAGATAAACTCGCTTTTCTTCCGGTAAGTGCGTGATTGAGCCGCTACAATAGGCGGCGAGGAGGAGGCCGTTGGGTCAATAGCCTGCGTCTCTCCCATTGATAAGAAAAGTCAGTGAGCGGAATGCAGGGCTTTCGAAAAGCCTTGCCCACCCGGTTCCAGCCGCGGGGGTCACACTTAACATCAACCAACGTGTGGGCACGCTGTCCCTTGGGTCCCCCAAACATTGAGCAGAATATTGGAAAGGTGGCCTGAGGTGTGTGGTGCCTGTCAGCACTGGCGGGGGGAGGGGGGCAACTGCACCCTGGGTTCCCCTACTTTCCCCCAGTTGGGTCCCACATTTGGGTCTGGCTCTTAGGTCTTGAGCACATGGGATAGAGAATTTAAGGATCCAGATACTTTGCAAACCCCGGGCCAGTAGGAGGAAAAGAGGCTCCTCTGGGAACCCGGATGGGCCGAATAGCAGCTTGCAGCAGACGCCCTCAGTGTTCAGAGTTCTCCACGTGGGGAAAAGGGCGGCCTGCCCAGTCTGCGCACCCGTTGCAGCGCCAAGAAGGGCATAAAAGCAGGGTAAACAATGTGAAGATCCCCACAAAGGCACGACAGTGCATTTACAAACTCATTTGCGTCCTGAACGCTCGCTTCTTTTTCACTCATACATTCCTTCTAAAATACGGGCTTTCTGTGTACATGGGCGCGCGTTCCCAGGACTGCGTTCCCTGGGTGGAATTCATTCAGGAATACAATCGATTTTCTGAACCTGCGTCCGGCCACAGGCAGCTCTGAAAATGAAAGTGTTCGCTAAGTGGGGAGATCTCACCAATCGAACGTTTAAAAATGGCTTTGTCTTCACTCAGCTCTCCCGATTCATTCTGTGTTTTACAAATAGAATCCCAGAGCTTCTGCCGCCCAGTCCTTGCGTGACTCAGGGCGGTGGCCACGCGGAGTTCAGGGATGTGGGAGGTTTGGAAAATCGCTGCATGTCGGAGTTTCCTAGCATGTTCCATTTATACTGAACGCAGGCGGCCGCTGAAAATGCAGCCTCGACTCTTGCCAGAGACCGGTGGGACCCTCGGGGTCCTGCGACCCCGCAGGTGGATGCTCCAGGCTTGGGTCTGGGGAGGCCTACGCGGGGACTGGCGGGCGCTCCGGCTGTCAGCGCGAGAACCCGAGACTGCTGCGGGGCGAACGCGGGATCCCAGAGCTGCTGTTCCGGCAGGAACGCGCGGGTCCTGCAACCCCCAGCTCCTCCCAGCCCCCACTAGGCCGGCGCCCGGCCTGGAGAGCCTCTCAGAGCCGGAGCAGCACCATCATGCCGGAGAAAACAAGCTCAGTTCCAAACACAAACGCTCATTTTTGGAATATTCTAGAAAAATAACATCTTGTTTGTCTTTATGATTCACGGGAGGTAACTGATGGGTGGGCGACACTGTGGGGTGAAGGTGACTTCTGGACGCAGGCTTTAAAGTGGGAATAGCTCCAAATTCCCAGCGTCTCCCGCCTTTCCACTGCAAATTGGACCTCCGCGGCTGCTGTGGCGGGAAAACCAGACATTTCTGCCTCTTGGCTTTCGGGCTGCCTCCAGCCCACGCGGGCTCGTATCGTCGCTGCGGAATCCGCCTCGAGCCCTCCTAGTACAGGAACAGGGGCTCCAGGTCGCAGTCACTGGAAGCCGCCGAGAGGGCGGGGAGGAGGGATTCCCTGGAGCTCCCCAGGGCGCCCCACGAGCCCCTTCTTCTCTCGCCGTCTCCCCACCTCCAGGTGCAGGGACCGAGCTTCCCCAAGTGAAGCTGAATTTTATTTGGTGAAAATTCTGGAATTGGAATTTGTTGCTCTTGTGTGTTTGTGTTAAATGCCTTGATGGCTAGGTGTGTGCGCACTCTCATTTATAGAATTTATGGGCAGCCAGCGCTGCTGGGAAAGGTTTGGGGGACAAGCAGGAGAGGGCCCTGAACGCTCACTCCAGGCCCAGGACTGGCCCCCAAGGCACGGCTGGAGCAGAGCCTGGTGGAAGCTGTAACGGCTTCAACTCGAGGCCTCTCTCTTAGGAGCCCTCATTTTCACTCTTCTCAGCCACGCCCTTGGTTCAGGTCCGTGCTGGCCCTTGGGGTCCTAAACCGACCCCCCACAAAAGACCAAGAAGCAATGGAATTGAATCAGCGCAGAGCAGGGCTCCCCCAGGGCGGGTTCCCGACCCACATGGTGCAGCCAGGCCTGAGGCCTGGGGCAGTCGATTCGGAAACCCTGGGGTCGAGGCCCTCCAGACTGGACTCAGGCCGCAGGAAAGAGCATAAGCCCAGCCTTTCACATAGTGTGGCCTGTCCTCAAACCTCTCCCCTCCCCCACTACAGCCCACCCTCCCTAATCACGCCCCTTCATCTTGGTTCTTTTGAAGGGGTGGGTGTGGGAGGCCTCCGCCCATGACAGGAGTGTGCGGAAGCTAACCTGGAGCTGGGAAGTCGGAGAAGACACCTGGGGTTCCACCTAGATAAACGTGGAAAAGACAGCTCTAGTGAGGGCCCAGCAAACCTGAGATCAGGGAGGCAGACCAAGGATGGAGCACGGGCGCCAGAGCCTAAAATCTGGGCTCTCACCTCCCGCCTAGGGAGGACTTGTGGCCCCTGGAAAGTCTAAGTGAGCAGGCCTCGGACCCCCCGGAGGGTTAGGGAGAGAATCCGTGGTCCCCCTCCAGTGTCCGCCACTGAAACCCTGAGTTCGTTGAAACAATCCAGCCTACATCAGGGGAGTCTTAAAGCCAGTGGCTTTTGGTTCCCCAGGACCCTGCTCAACTCCCATGACATCAGACCACCACTTAGGGCGTCTTGATGCCCAGGCTAGGAGGATCTCGGTTGCACCAGCTTCCCCAACTGCCTTCCAGGTTTTGTCCTGTCCGACTTTCAGCAAGCAGCTTAGCTCAGCCTCGGCTCTGCCTTCCAGGAAGGAGGGGCACCAGCAGCCTCGGCTGACCCGGGTGCCCCTATGGGCCACCGAGTGGGGGCTTGCTGGTCCTTGCCTTCTCTGCCTGGGGTGGGTGGGAGGTAGGTGCCTCCGCTTCCCGGGGTTTCTCCCTGGCACACTTTGCCTGCTTAGGATCCTTCCTCGTCCACATCACAGATGGAAAAGCGGAGGCCAATGGGCTCAGGTTCGCTAGCAACCGGCCGCCAGCCCTGGTTTCCCGCTCTGGCCCGGGTGCCCTCCTACACCCGCGCCCGCGTGCTCTGTGCAGGGCGCTGGCGGGGAGGAGTGTTCCTAGAGGCCGCGAGGGGAAGCGGGTGGCAAGGCCCGGCCTTGCGCTTCTTACGCTCCCTCTGCTCAGTTCACTCTCGTGGTCTCTGTTGCAGTCTGGCCTGCGGTTCCCTGACTCCCCTATCGCCACTCCGAGAAACAGCGGGCGCGGGTTTTCTAGGGCAGACTACCCGGGTCAGGTCGTGAGGTCACGTGCTCGCGGGGCTCCTCCGGGCGCGCGGTTTCCAGATCCGCCGACAGAGGGCGCTGGGGCCGAAGAGGAGCGCGTTCCGGGGCCTGGGAGGAGCGCGTTCGGGGCCCAGGGAGGAGCGCTTTCGGGGGCCTGGGAGGAACGCGTTCGGGGGCCGGGGAGGAGCGCTTTCGAGGGCAGGGAAGGAGCGCGTTCGGAGGCTTGGAAGGAACGCGTTCGGGGGCCGGGGAGGAGCGCGTTCGGGCGCCTCTTCCGGATCCTGAGCGCCACGCTGTGGGGCTCGGTGGTTCAGAGCCACACCTGACACCCTCACGTCCCAAACTCACACGGTCTCACCGACAAAGCCACGGGAAGGAGCGCGCAGCTGAAGGTGGGTGAGGGGGGTGGGACGGTGGAGCCACTTGCAGCGGGACCTGCGAGGACGTGGGTACCGGCCTCCCCGGTGGACCCTCTAGTTTGTAACCGTTCGAACACTGTAGGGATTCACCGTGCGCACCGTGGAGGCGTGGACATCCACCCGAGTGTGCAGAGGCAGCGGAGGGGCACAAGAGATAGTCCCCAAGACCGGCTCCTACCCATTTCTGAGCTGGAGTTTTCTAGAACATGTCCAAACATCCTCTTTAATAGCAGGAAACTGAGGCCCAAGGTCCTGCAGCACTTAGAAATAGGGCGGACTTCCCTGGCGCTGGGTAAGGGCAGCCCCTGCGTTGCCCTCTGAGCCTGAGTTTTCTCCGTTGTGAAACATTGCGGTTGTGCTAGGTAGTCTGGAGGTATGTCTGAAGGGGTGTGCAGGGGTCTGCCCGTGTGTGCTGATGCCTGGGAGGCAGCCTATGGCCATCTGAGAAGGGCTATGTCTCCAGGCAAGGGTGCCTGCAGTGTGTATTCACCCTTGAAGGAGTAGATGTGTCTGTACATTATGTACAGATGCATTTGTGCCTATCAAAGTGTGTGTATGTGAAGGGACGTGTTGTGAGGAGGTGTATGTAGAAGAGTGGAGGGATATCTGTGTCTGCGAATTGTGTACATGTGCATCAAGGAGTAATTGTGAATTGTAAATAATTGTACCCTGGGAAGGGGCCTGGCACTCCCCATCCACTAGAACCCCACCACCTGCCTTTACTGCTCGTCGCATGTGCCCTGGAGCCCATTCTCATTCTGGGCCCCACAGAAGGGAGCAAGGGGGTGAGAGGGCTGAGGGACACAGGCTCTGGGGTGTGGCTCTGCCCCAGTGCCCAGCAGGCTCTAAGGGGCTGCGATTAGGCAAAGCTTCTCCCTGGCTGCAGAGGGAGAGAGAGAGAGAGGGAGGGAGGGAGAGAACGAGGGAGGAAGGAGGATTACGGCAAATTCATTTCTATTTTCCAGCCCACTAAGCCTGCAGTGTGTCCCTGGTGTTAGCATGAGAATGGGCCAGGGCTCTGTGAACACCCCCGCCCCCGCCCTGCTGACCCCTCTCCCCCCTGACGTGAATAGTGGGACTCACAGCCTCCCCAGCCTCTCCAACTAGTGCCTGCAAAGCCACGACTCCTAATCAGGGTAATTTAATATATTTTAAGCCCCCGGCGGCTTTATTTTCCCTCCTTTTCGAGTTTGTTTTAGGCATTCACAGCTCTCACCCCGTCATTAGACGGCCTTATTTGACGGATGGAAGGAGCTGCTATGAGACCACAGCCCTTTGTGTCCCCCACATAAGCTGGGCTTCCCTGTAATTAGAATGGTATTCCCAGCCATTGAGGCTTTTCATGAGGCAGAACAAAAACTCCCCGAGATGAATATCCCCCAACTCCCAGCCCCCTGGCCAGGAAAGGGGCTGTGAGTTAAAGGGACTCCTTGGGGAAGGCAGTCTGGAGCAAGGACAGCCAGGGTCCTACCAGGGCGAGGAATTTAGAGGCCATGGGAAGTGGGCACCAGACAAAGGCTGGTGGCTGGTCAAGGTTGCCGGTAAACACTAGTCACTTATACATACTCCACCCACCAGCCAGCCTCAGGATGTGCTGAGCTCATCAGAGGACCTTCATATGTCCATGGGGTCCTGGGGTATGGAACTGGGCTGGAGTATGCATGTAAAACACAAACACACACAGTCACACAGGTCACTCCCAGGCAGGCTTGGGATTACATTGTGAACACGCATATATTGTACACACATACATGTACACATGCATGCTTAGCCACAAGATTACAATGTCACTAAACCAGGTCGGGAAATACTTGTAAATATACACACATCACACACACGCGTTACCCAGACAGAACCAGACTGCAGTTTGTCTTTATATCTATGCACACACACACATGCACACACACACAGCCACTCAGATGGATTGCTTGTGAACACACACACACTCTTGTATACTCATATACATACATACACCCTTAGGGCCATCCAGACCCCAGTTTTTCTGGGGGCGTTCACCAGCTTGTGCAGACTGTGGCACACCACCCCTCCTCCCCAGGATATAGACTTGCTCCTGACTACACTCCTAGGTCCATGCTTAGCCTGTGTGCAAGTAGTTTAACAGGCACACACATGCATGGACACATGCCCATCCTCTGGCTCACACTGACATATGAAAACTCAGGAAAATGCTATAGAACCAACATGACATTACAGTGTTTCCGTATTTTCTGGCCAGCCTCTCCCAGATGCTCATTACCAGACATGCAGGGGAATTTTGAGGATAAGTCCCCACTCAGCTACACACTGTGCTCTGAACTCAGCCCCCAAGTGGGCTGAGTTCTCTGGGGCTCAGGTGGATCTCCTGAGCCCCAGAGACCCCAAAGGGGTCTCCCCCTTTGGGAAGAGAAGATCTCCCTTTTCTAGATTGGACCAGGCTCCAAGGACAGAAGGCAGGTGTCTGGCCATCTGGTACAATCTGTAGCTTTTTTCAGGATTCAGGAAAGGCTAAGAAGGTGATAACTAGCTCTGGGAGTCTGCAGAAGGAAGAACTCAACCTGCTAATGGACGCACAGGGACGCAGTTTCATGAAGTAGTGAGTGCCTCATCTCTGCGAGGATTAAAATAGGGCAGCATGATCACCAGGGATAATTCATTTATTTAGTTCAGCTCCTGCTCTCTATCAGACCCTGTGCCCAGTGCTTGGAGTACAGTGGGGAGTAATATACAAGCCTGTCTTCAAAGGATCTTAGAGTCTTAAATGGGAAAGCTAGACACACACAATTAATAGATAGGCCTAGGGCAGGTGACAGGGATGACGCTGGGGCAGAGAGGAAAGTGATGAAATGGGTCTCTAGTTTTCACAATGGAATGTTAATATCAGGGAATGAAGTAGATCGTTTAACATCCTGTGCCCAAGGCACAGTTGTGACACCTTGGAAGTTTTGTTTTGTTTTGTTTTTTTGAGACAGAATCTTGCTCTGTTGCCCAGGCTGGAGTGCAGTGGCATGATCTTGGCGCATTGCAACTTCTGCCTTCCAGTTTCAAGCAATTCTTTTGCCTTAGCCTCCCAAGTAGCTGGGATTACAGGTGTGTACCACCATGCCTGACTAATTTTTGTATTTTTTAGTAGAGATGGGGTTTTGCCATGTTGGCCAGGCGTGAACTCCTGACCTCAAGTGATCTGCCTGCCTCAGCCCCTCGAAGTGCTGAGATTACAGGCATGAGCCACTGCATCCAGCCCTGCACCTTGCAAGTCTTTGTATTGGGTAAATAGTGCATTAGCTGGTCTCCAAGGCCTCTCTCCACTCTAAAATTCTTGTACTCCTGGTCTAGGTCCATGGCTTTCTCACTGTGGCAAGGTGGGTGGTCTCTCCCTAACTCACTATGCACGGTGTACTTTTACCATGGCACTTATCACCTGCCCCAAAGCTGTGCCCAGGCTCTTAGTGAGGGCAGCAGCTGAACGCATTCCAGGTCTCCAGGAACAAAGGAGAGGCTCATAAAGAGTGATTAATTCAGTTTGCTGGGGTGGGGTGAGGGGAGTGTCCAAAAGACATAGGTCAGACTCCTTCATGGCTCCTGACTTCTTAGGAGGGAAGGACAGTCCACTGAGTCTTATGGAGCCTTGTTCTTCTGGAAGGAAGTACAGCTTTGAAGGGATGGGGTGCGGACCTCAGGATGGTGGTTGTTTGCCTACTTTTTTTTTCCACCTTACATCCTATTCAATATGTGGGGCAACCATCTTACTCTTGTATCCGCTGGTGGACCATGCAAAGGCCTACCCAGAAAATGACCAGAAAACCTCAACATCTGTCTCTAGATAAAACCTATGTCTGTTTCTCTTCGTAGGAAACATTTTACAGGGTGAATTAGAGAACAAGGGGTGCTTTGAAGCCACTTCTGATGCCTTTTTTTTTTTTTTTTAACCCTAGTGTTCCATGGTGTAATGTAGTGGTTAGGAGCCTGGGATCCAAAGACATCCCAGTTCAAAGCCTGTTCCCCGCTTTGAGAGAGCTTGGCCACGTCTCCCTGGGCCTAGGTGTCTACAGCTGCAAAGTGGGAGTAATAATAGTACCACCCTGCTAGGGTTGTTGTGAGGATCAGACGAGCTGATGCATGTAAAAGAGCCCAGGAACGCCTTGCTTGCATTAAGTACTGTGTTCGCTGTGGTGATTAGTATTAGAGTGAGTGCTCAGTAAATATTTGTTGGGTAAATGTGTGCATTTTTCATTTTGTTTACATTCAGGATAAAGTTGTGGGAAATAAGATCTTCCTGGTAGTCTCTGCCGGGTAACTGGAGGGAGGCGGAGATGGGGCGGGGGTGGGCGGAGGGTCTCCCTCCGGTAGTTAAAAAAAAAATTAACATTCGGAAAGGATGGGGCCTAGGGTCGCTACTGCGGTCTCCAGCAGGGGGAGCCCAGGCGGCCCCCACTTGCCGGCTCCAGACCGCGAGGCTGGAGGGAATTAGCCTTGATCGAGCATCTACTGTGTGCAGTGCGCCCGCCAGGCGCTGGGGGGCGCCGCGACGGCAGGGTGACCAGGGAGTGGGGGACGCGGAGGGCGTCGGGAGGTGCTTTTGAACCAGTGCAGACCTACAGGGCTGGTCTCCGGAGCGCCAGCGTCCCTTGGCTGCAGCGGGGCACGGATTTGGGTCCCGGCCAGGCCAGGCCTGGGAAGCGCAGGGCTGAGGGCAGTGCCCCGACCGTGATCCCGGGTTGGTGCGGGCCTGCGCTGCAGGAGGCGACCGGGAACTCGGCTTCCCGGCTGCACCGGCTCTGAGCAGGCGCCCAGCACAACCCACTCGGCGAAGTTAGGCTGCGGGCGGGGACACTCCGAGCTGCGCGGGGGTACCAGGGGCCTCCTCATGGCGGTTTGGGGATGGAATCAGACACCCTTCGTCCTATCCCTGCGGCTGGACCCGGGAAGAGGTAAAGCCCGGAGACCCCACCTTGGCACGGGGCAGGGGTGCCACG